TTTCCTTCTAATTAACTATCTAATGATATATTTTTTCTTCAATATTTAAAAAGTTACAATTAAATTGGTGATAAATGTGCGTCAGGCTTAGATTCTGCTTTAGCAAATTGCATTAATCTCTCAAATTTGACACTTTACCTTTAGTAATAACAGTTTATTTGTTTTGGATTGTGATATTTTTAATTATAAAAACTAATTAAAAACAATAAAGCTCTTTTTTCTTTTTCTTTTTATTGTGCTTGCTTTTTTTTTGTTCTTTCTTTGTTAATTTAGCTCATCATTTTATTTTCAACTTTTGCTTTTATTATTTATTTCTTATTATTTCATATTTTTTCTTCTTTCTAATTAACTATTTAATGATATATTTTTTCTTCAATATTTAAAAAGTAACAATTAAATTGGTGTAAAAGGTGTATCAGGCTTAGGTCCTGCTTTAGCAAATTGCATTAATCTCTCGAACTTGACACTTTACGTTTCGTAAAAATAGTTTATTTGTTTTGGATTGTGATAATATCTAATTATAAAAACTAATTAAAAACAATAAAGCTCTTTTTTCTTTTTCTTTTTATTGTGATTGATTTTTTTTGTTCTTTCTTTGTTAATTTAGCTCATCATTTTATTTTCAACTTTTGCTTTTATTATTTATTTCTTATTATTTCATATCTTTTCTTCATTTTTCCTTCTAATTAACTATCTAATGATATATTTTTTCTTCAATATTTAAAAAGTTACAATTAAATTGGTGATAAATGTGCATCAGGCTTAGGTTCTGATTTAGCAAATTGCATTAATCTCTCAAATTTGACACTTGACATTAGGTAAAAACAGTTTATTTGTTTTGGATTGTGATATTTTTAATTATAAAAACTAATTAAAAACAATAAAGCTCTTTTTTCTTTTTCTTTTTATTGTGCTTGCTTTTTTTTTGTTCTTTCTTTGTTAATTTAGCTCATCATTTTATTTTCAACTTTTGCTTTTATTATTTATTTCTTATTATTTCATATTTTTTCTTCATTTTTTCCTTCTAATTAACTATTTAATGATATATTTTTTCTTCAATATTTAAAAAGTAACAATTAAATTGGTGCAATTGGTGCATCAGGCTTAGGTTCTGCTTTAGCAAATTGCATTAATCTCTCAAATTTGACACTTAAGCTTTGGTAAAAACAGTTTATTTGTTTTGGATTGTGATATTTTTAATTATAAAAAACTAAATTAAAAA